ATTCCTGGCACCTTGTAACTGCCATTCATACTTCCTTTAGTCCCTAAGCTAACCCTTTTCTTTCTTTAAAACAGTGTTTCTCAACCTTGGCAACTTGAAGATGTCCGGACTTCAACTCCCAGAATTCCCCAGCCAGCTGATGCTGATGCTGGCTGGGGAATTCTGGGAGTTGAAGTCCGGACATCTTCAAGCTGCCAAGGTTGAGAAACACTGCTTTAAAACATAAAGTCTAAAACAGACTTTACATCTGTTTCATATCTCCACTTCCACAGAAAAGTTATTACTCTTAAGTAATAAGTTGAATTAGCAACAACATGAATGTTCAAGGCACTTTTGTATTTTACCTCACAACATGTACATTCTCCCCACCTATCAATTCAGTTATCTGTGTCATTACAAGCATTTACATTGCAGGTGTTAGCACAAAAATGCATCATGGAAATACAGAACAAGGTAGATCAGGAGTGAAGATGCATTCTTTTTTATGATTCCCAAGGGTCCCCGCATCCTCTGAGGCTAAAAACGTTATTTTTACGGGGGAGGGAAGAGAGAGGAGATTTATGGCAAAAAGCAAAGCTCAAGACATCTCCGAAAATTCCTTTTCCAGAGACTTATTCCCACTCCCCCACTTCAGGGGCTGAGAATATCCTCAACTCCTGATGTGGCTTTCGAGGTAGACCGGGTGGACACACGCGAATGAAGATACATAGGAGGTACACCCCCATCTCCCCCCTCCCTCCCCCCACGCTGGAGTAACTGCCCTCCTTGTAACGTCACCAGCAACAAACGCCCTTCTAAGACCGGAACGCCGTCCTCAGACAGGCCGCACCTCTTCCTATTGCTCTGACCGGATACAATGAGAGCCCATTTCTTTCCGAAATCGCATCTCTTCCACCGGTGTCCCACTAGCAGAACAAAAAATAGCCGATGCCAACTATACCCTTTCCCTACCATTTTTCTTCTTAAATGAAGCGGCAGCAGCTGCTGATGTGACTCAACAGTCCTCAGGAGTCGCTTACCTGCTCCGGCCCCTCTACCGCCATTTTCTCTCGCCTATATTAACAGTGGCCAGAAACGCGCGTGCGCTGAAGGAAGACAGAAATCAGCACGAGGCGCCTCCTTTTCCTCGTTCTTGCCCTTAACAAACATGGAGGCTGGTGCTTCACCCGTGGAGAAGTTGTCCCGGAAACAGAGCCTCTTGGCCGTTGAAATAGTTTTAATTTCGTTGAAAGTGAACTTATAGGGTTGAGTTTGGCATTTAAGTACGATTTGTGAATGTGGGAAATATATGAGTCAAACACAGATACCAGAAAGAACTGTCTTTATAAGCTATAAAGAGGCGTGCAATAAGGGCACCAACGTGCCTACCGTCCCTGTCCTAATGTTCCCTTTTATTCGTATCCATTTCATGCTTTCAAAATCAGGTTTATACTTATATATGTTATCTAATATATGCTGGACGAAATAAATATAATTAATTATTTCGATTCAAGGCGTAATTAAATTTAGAAATAGACTACTTCAAAACTTTGACTTTCTTAATTTCAGTCAGTAAGGCTTGAACCGAATTAAATGCTAGCACATTTAGCGTGTTGAATACGTAGCTGCCACCCACGGTAATTTCGCAATACAGGTTACGTATCCATCACAGATGATGGCTGAGGGTAATCGTAAATGTAGTTCGAAAAGTCATCAGATTACATTCTACTATCGCTACATTTTAGATTTTAAGATTTCCTGAATCTCGGTGTTAATGTGATTGTAAAATATATTACATATTTCGTATTTTCTCCCGGCTGCTTTGGAGCGTGGGAGAAAAAGGGCAACTGACACACAAAATGGCTGAAAAAAGCTTCAAGGCGGATGCCTGGCACGCAAGGAAGGCGGGGGTGAAAGGGAAGAGGAACAGGAAGAACTACGGGGGAAGCGGGGGAGGGTCACTGAAGGTTCTGCGCACGTGGGATTCCCCGGGTCGGAATTGCTGCGGCCGCTGATTCTTAGTCGAGATGGGCAAGAAGGGGAAAATCGGAAAGAGCCGAAGAGACAAGTTTTATCACCTGGCCAAAGAGACTGGTGAGAAAATGGGCTTTTAATACATTTATGTTCTTTTTCGATTTATCGTTCTTCGCATCGACTTTGGAGAGTTTGGCCGCCAGGAGGCAAAAATGTATTTCATACTGTCCATACTGATCATTGATATTTAAGAGAAAGGAATGGTCGTCCTGACTACTCTCTTGGCGTCCCAGAATTGATTTTTTATGTAAAAGAATATGTGGCACTCCGTTTTGACTAAATCGCTTTGAGTAACGATTAGACAAATGTGTTTATTAACTGTCAAAAGGTTGGACTAGATGACCCATAAGGTCCCTTCCAACTCTATTAATCTGATCTAATCTGATTATTCTCTTTCTGTCAAGTATTCATGGTTGGCAATCAGAATGGAATAATAAAAATGTTTCCTGTATCAAATCCCTTCCTAATGTGTTAGGTGACAAATTCCAACATGAGTTCTGGAAGAATGGAAGTTGTGACCAAACACAATATTAATGGAATCTTTTTTTTTTAAAGTTGACTAAAAAAGTTAAAAGATAATTTCAAACAAAAATCTCCTCAAAGTTGTTATATGCAGTTGCCAGAGCAAAACAGTAACATTTGAATAAATATTTGTCACAGTGAGGAGGAATTATTTTTCTTTTAGAGCAAGGATCCCCAACATGTTCAGTATTCAAGGGGTTGATGGGGCTATCCAAAGGGTCTATAAATGGCTGAGGGTCAAAAAGGGAGTTAAGTGGCTGTATTCCAATTAGAATCAATATTTTGGAGTCTCTCTTGATCTCCATGCTAATCCCTAGTCCTGAGGTAAGACAAGGTTATCCAGGGTCAGCCATCAATGAAAAACAGCTGTGTGTTATCTTTACTATTGTTATCACTTGCAGCTGTGTGTTATCTTTACTATTGTTATCACTTGTAGTAAGACAGGGTTATCCAAGGTCTGCCATCAATGAAAACAGTGTTATCTTTACTATTGTTTTCATTTGTAGTATTTATGAAAGTAGTGTTTATTAAATTATTTTAATATAATGTTTGAGGGTCAATGAACAATCTGAAACTTTATGAAGGAGTTGATGAGTTCGAGAGTTTGGAGACCCTTGCTTTAGAGGTATCCCATTTAACATTACTGCCCAATAGTAATACTGCCTCCCAAATAAATTCATGTAAGCACCTTGCCTAGTCAACTTTAGGTGCTTTTTTGGATAAATTGGGATGGTGACCTGAATCATGGCATCTATGATTCATTCTTCTTTTGGGGGGGGGGTGCCTCTATTTATTGTTTGATTTTTATTCCTCTTTGAATTTAAGAACCTCAGGGCATATATAGTGCTCCCTATTCCCTTTCCTTCCCCAGCAACAACTTTGTGAGGCAGTTTGGGTTGAGAAAAAGAATGAGAGTGAACATATGTAACTGAGTTAGACAAGAATCCGAGTTTTTCTGCCTATAGTTTGAGCGTAACCCTATATCACTATCATTATTATGGGGCTGGTGCTAGGTATGATTTTTTTTTCACTGGCAAACTTTGCTTGTGTTTCTAACATGGTGAATTAATTCTGAAATTGTAATTGGACTCCTTAAAGCTGACAGTTCATTGTTCAAATTGCTGAGGTACAGTTTGAGTCTGATAGCTATAGCTAGAACTGTGCCTGATGTTGACTTTGTTTTCCAGGGTTTCGCTCCCGTTCTTCTTTTAAGTTGATCCAGTTGAATCGCAAATTCCAATTCCTCCCAAAGTCACGGGCCTTGCTGGATCTGTGTGCCGCTCCCGGAGGATGGTTAGTATTCAGTTCAAGTATTTGTGGGTTTTCTATAAGACTATACTCCTGCTGCTGATGCACATAGACTAGATACACTTAGACAATTAGACTTGTCACTACTTCAAACTGTCCTCTTATTAATAAATTCTCCTTATCCAATGAAGAGTTAAGCACATTATGAAAATATGTGCCATCTGCCGAAACAGATTTTGCACAGAGCAAGGCAATATATTGCAGATTTTCTTTCTTAAATGTTCCAAATGCTTTAGAAGTGTATTCACAAAATTAGGGCAAGTTAATAGGTTAGTTAAATATATGTTCCCAGTCCATCAGTATGGCAAAATGGCTAGATTATTCTCAATGCATCGTCATGCTACTGAGGAATAAGAATTACCTGTGTTCCTCTACTATTTTGAGTAAGAAAAGAATGATTTGTTTTCTCGACTCTCCAAAAGCAATGAGAAATCTCCCTGCTTTGAAGGGGGGGACGACACACAACTATTTTAGTATTTACAATTGCTAACATGTTTTATATTAATATAGATTGGGACAGTTGGTTACAAATTTAACCTTATTTATAATTCAGCTCTTGAAATCAGTGAGGCATAAATGAATCATGATGCTGATTCCAGTGGAGGTACAGTGCTATAAATAAAATTAAGTTCAATAAATTAAAAAGGAACCCTTCAAATATATACAATGAACACTCTGGGAAGATCTTCCCAGATTTTTAGGATTTTAAGTAATAAAATATTAGGGCTGTGGTTAATTTTTCTACATTTTAATAATAATAGACGTTTTATGCCAGATCAAGCCAAACATAAATCTAGCTTGTCTTTACAGAGAAACCAGCAGGTGTTTTGGAAAGCCAATACGATCCTGGTGACATTTTTTGTTCATCCTGCTGCCATTGGCGTTCAGCAACTTGGTGCCTCTGATTCTGGAGGCAGCATATAGTCTTTAATAGCTTAGTACTGTTCCATGGATTTTTCTATTGCCTTTTTCAAACTTTTTAAAATTGGTGCCCATTGTTTGTCATTTGTGGTCATTTTATATTTAACTAAGTAGGAAAAAAACCCATTTATTTTCATTAGTTGATCCTGGATGCTCAGTATGACAGAAGAAGAAAAAAATCTTCCTTTGCATTTTATCCACATCGTAATAAGTTCTAATTAGAAAACTATTTCTTTTCTTTATAACAGAAATCTAATTTGGCATATAAACTCCACTGTGTTCTGAATATCTTTCAATATCAAACATTAATTTATTTGTGGTTCCTGGTTTACAAAGACTTTAAGATATTCTTACATCACTGTAAAATAGTTTATATTTCTCGTATTTCAAAAGTGGATATGGAGTAGTACCGTGTTTCCCCGAAAATACGACCTGTCCTGAAACTAATGTCTTGCCACATTTTTTGCGTAGGAAAAAATATAAGCCCACCCCCGAAAATAATCCCCCCTCCAGCCAGGCAGAGCACCGCTCACCGACCTAGTGGTATACCGAAGGCTGCTTTGCCCCTAAGGCTGTGCCCGGCTCTTCGGGAGCCAGTTCGCAAGGGAGCAGGTGCCCAGCAACCCCAAAACAATAAATACTTCCCCTATAATAAGCCCAATGCCATATTTCGTGGGGCAAAAGAAAATAAGTCCCTGTCTTATTTTCGGGGAAACACGGCATAGAGTAATTTGTCAGATAACACTTCAACTAAGATTTGAACTATGATTTTTATAGATCACAGCTCATTCACTTTAAACAGTAGTTGCATGTTCTTCTGTTGACATTTAAGGAATCTTGTCCAGTATGACACTAGAAGATTTTAGATTGCAAATGAAAAAAAAATCTGTTCTTAACTTAGAACACATGGTAAATTCATTCTCACTTTTTCAATATCATTGATGACTGATAGATACTCAGAGTTATATCTGATTCTGTTCTATCTACAGGCTTCAGGTGGCCTCAAAATTTATGCCAGTGTCCAGTCTTATTGTCGGTGAGTAACGTGGATGGAGGAATGATGTGAGACAAAAAAAAAAAGAACCAAATGGCTTCAGATTTTGTATTTTCTGCCATGACCCACCAGATGTCTGTACTAGAATAAATACACGAGCCCTCTCCCAAAGCCAATGTCTATGAGCTGATCTGTACCAGCATGCTATCTAGCACAAGTGCAGCAAAAACAAGAGGAAGGATATTGTGATTATATGAGAAAAAAATATAGCGATGTAGCATTTTAGAATAATCAAACATTGTGGGTAGGCAAAACAGTAGCTGAAGGACCAATGTGTAAAACAGTTTGATTGCTGAGTCCACAGGGAGCCTAGTGCAATGGGGGTGACATCCCCAGAGAAGTGAGACTGAAAGATTCTATCCTTTTTTATAGGAGGAGTTAGGACGGAAGGGTTATTTAAGGTCAATTTAAACTTAGTAGTGCACTAGCAGTAATTTAATGCACCTGTTTTAAGCCAATTTATATGTATGGTGTAATTGCTGCAAAATTTTAGCCAAGTAGCCCTGAAATAATCCAAAAAGTTGAGATTGCATGGGGTTTTGGACACAGATTGTTGTCTCTGATGTCCAGTATTACTTGTGTATATTATATAGACCAGTGGTGTATTTATTGCAGCAAACCCAGACTCATGGGACTGTCATTTGTTACCTTCTTGGGAAACTTCCATTAAGTCAAGTCATTGGAGGAAGCCAGACTCACTTAAAGACCATGTGAGCCATTAAACTGGATTGACTTAACAACTTCAGTGATTTGCTTAAAAGTCATAAAATTGGGTACAACTCAGTTAACAACCCCTTGCTTAGTATCAGAAATTCTGGTCCCAGTTTTGATTGTAAGTTGATGACTAACTGGTGCGTAGGGGCCTCTGATTAAAAAAACAAAAGAAAAACTCAAAGTGCTTTATAACATTTAAAACATAGGAACATGTGGCAATCATTTTTAAAAAATAGAATGGATTTGAGAAAACAGGGAAAAAAGCCTGGAATGACAGCTCCAGTGACTTTGATTTGTTTTGCCTTGTCTTGTTTGCTTCTTTATTCTCCCTTCTTCTCATCTTCAGGGGTTGATCTGGTCCCCATCAAGCCCATCCCTAATGTGGTAACAATGCAGGAAGACATCACTACTGAGAAGTGTCGCCAGGTAATTATTTTGTATGATTCCCAGATGCCGTTGCCTTGACAGCTGCTAGATTTGGCTTCTGCTTCTCCTGCATTCGGCAGCTTCATTCACAGGTTTTCATCATGGTCGCCAGGAGCCCAAAAGAACTCAATTTCATGTAACCCACCTAACAAGCAAGAAAACAAATCCTAGTGGACCTTATGTTGTTAAAATATAAGTACTGTAAAAATTGCATAATTAGTCTAAGATCTCAGGAAAAAAAATAGTATTAATCTAAAAAGCCAAAAGATTGCCTTGTCTCTCCATTGTTATCACTTGCCACAAGATGGCAGTGGTTTACTATTGATAGTATCAGAAGTATCTTAGCAGTCAGCCGCAGCATTTATTCACTCTCATGAGGATATTTAAGCTGTTTTTCTCCCCAGGCCTTGCGGAAGGAGCTGAAGACGTGGAAAGTAGATGTTGTGTTGAATGATGGGGCTCCCAATGTAGGTGCCAGTTGGGTACACGATGCCTTTACTCAAGGTATGGGGGCTACTTCTAGAAAAGGAAGAGAAGAAAACAATTTTTGGGGCTTTGCAATGCAGAGTAGACACTGATCAATATCACATAAACTTTAATTTGGATTTTACAACAAACTATCTTGTACAGCTAATTTGATGTAAGAACAATGCTATGTTATACGTAGACACAATATGCCTAGTAGCCCAGTGCTTATATTGATACCATGCTACCCAGCCTATGTTTAGTTCCCTTTTGGTCAAATATCACACTGTTGAAACTTGGCATTGTGGTTTTATGTTTTGCCTGTTTGCTTAAGCACTTAAAATATGGAAATGGATAGGTTGTTTTTCTACACTTAAATCTTTGCCTGACCCTTCTACGTGCCCCCTCCCCACCTCATAGCAGAAGGATTGAAGAGGTTGATGGCAGGTAAGGTAAGGTAAAGGAGGTTTTGTCTAGAGAAATACTTTGCTTTTTCCCCCCTCTCCTTCCTTCAGAGTGAAGAGATTGGAGAGAAAAAGAGGAAGTGATTTCAAGAGAGCAAGCATAGCATGTGACACAATCTGCTTGCTTTTGTTAAGACAATTATCAGGCATTTTTATCAGGCAATTATTTACGTTTTTTAAAGAGTGGGAGAATGGTTGAGGTGTAAACAAGAGCCAAAGATGTCACTGGTATTATCTCTTTCCAACTGGAAGGCATAGTCATAGCCACATGATTCTCACTTAACAACTGCTTTGCTTAGTGGTCAGGTTTACAATCCCAATTATGGTTGTAAAGCGAGGACTACCATTGTCAAAAAATTCAGTCATACGACCACAGGCAGGAGTGGCTGTCTGAACTTTGAAACTGAGTCATAAATAGCTGTGGGGTAGTCCATTGTAACTGAACAGTCTCTTAAGCTATTGGTTGTAAGTCAAGAACTACCTATAGTATACAACAAATGATTTCAGCCTGATTTGATTATTGTAGTTCTGCTAGGTGGCAGCACTTAGGTATCCTTTTCTCAAAAAGCTAAGTAGAATGACATCCAGTTTGTGTTTGGATGGGAGACCCTCAGGAAAGTACACAGCCTATGAACTAGACTAGGAAGTTGAAAAAAATGACCCACAGTAGCTAGTCAATTCCAGGTAATTTAAAATTTATCAGGCGTCAAATCCAAACCATGGGAGATTTTTTTGGCAGACCATATGGGCCAAGATTGAATCTTGCAAAGTTATGATCAATTTTGGCTAAAAGGTTCTGGGTTCTTCTTTAAATGCAAATTGTTAGCTGAGGAACATCATTTAACGGCCTTCATTTAATAGAATTTGCCCGAACTTATAGGGATAGTTCTGCCCCTGACGTGGCAGGCAGCAACCCGTGAGGAGTTTTCTCACGCCCTACTGTGGTCAGATGCTAGTCAACAATGTGGTCTGCATCCTTAACAGCTCTAGCAGTGGTTGCTGCTCTCTATCACCCTTCTTGATTGCCCCAGTAGCTGCAAATAACATAAAGCCAGACTGCTTAGAGGCTTGAAATAACTCTTTGTCGTTTAACTGAATTTTGCTTTAATATGCACATAATGCATTACTGGTAAATTAATTTTGTTTCCAGTTTCTAATACAATAATTGAACCCTAAAATTTTAGCTATCTACCTAATTCTGAAAAACAAAGTTTGTTGTTGAGTATCAGGATTACTCTCTGAGGTAAAATCATTTTCCTTCCCTTGCCCCTAATCATGTGGAATGGGTTTCTGTCTTCTTTTATAAATGTCACTAAATAAGCCTCTTGCCACTCTTATATTCATTCTGTATAATGGTAGATGAGTTGTACAGATAGTCCTCAACTTACAACAGTTCATTTAGTGACCATTTAAATTTATAACAGCACTGAAAAAGTGACTTGTGGCCATTTTTCACATGACTATTGCATCATCCTCATGGTCACATGATTTACATTTGAATACTTGATAACTGACACATTTATGACAGTTGCAGTATCCCAGAGTCATGTGATCCCTTTTGCAACTTTCTGACAAGCAAGGTTAATGGAGAAACAAGATTTACTTAACAACAGTATTACTAATTTAAGAACTGCAGTGATTAACTTAACAGATGTGGCAAGAGAAATTGTAAAATGAGATAAAACTCACTACATTTATCACCTAGCAACATAAATTTTGGGCTCAATTGTGGTCATAGGTTGAGGACCACCTGTATTATCTTCATCTCAAGATGATGCAATTGGAATGAGTGTACAATCTTTAGAGTAAACAGCTTAGAGTAAATTGCAGAGGCTGGTCTTAACTTTTCCTTAGCTTTGTCCCTTTTCTCTCCTCTCTCTTCCATCTCTCCTGGCAGCAAACCTTACACTGTCAGCCCTGAAACTGGCCTGTGACTTCTTGTCTAAGGGCGGCTGGTTCATCACCAAGGTCTTCCGTTCCCGGGATTACCAGCCCCTTCTGTGGATCTTTCAGCAGCTGTTCCATAAAGTACAAGCCACCAAGCCACAAGCCTCCCGTAATGAGTCAGCTGAGATCTTTGTCGTCTGTCAGGGTGAGTGCTAGAATGGGAAGAAAGGGAATGGATTGTCAAATGGAGGTGTAGGTGTTTTGGAATATAAAGGTTTTTTTTATTTTTTGTTCTCTATATACAATTATAGGTATTCATTCACATAGTTATTCTTTTTTTTTACATTCATGGTTTTTATACATTTGTCATTCCATTTATAGAATTATAATATTCAATTTGGGTTGTTTTGTTTACCATCCCTCAACTGTTTTGACACCACCTTTTTCTCCCTTTCTTTTCTCCCTTCTTCCCTTCTCTACTTCCTTCCTTCCTTATCTCTTCCTCTTCCCCTTCCTACCCTCTCTCCTTCTCTCTTTCTCTCCTTCTCCTTTTCATCTTCCTCTCCTCTCTGTCTTCTTTTCCTCCTTTTTTCTCTCATCTTCTTTCCTCTCTTCCTTTCTCTCCCTCCCTCCCTCCCTTCTCTACTCTGTGTGTGTGTGTGTGTGTGTGTGTGTGTGTGTGTGTGTGTGAAATGAATATGGCTGATTTGGGAAACCCAGCATATTACAGCATTGGAGTTTTCTTCGTTAACTACATGTAGTGTTACAGGATATATTTCTGTTTGTTTATTATATGTATATGCCACCCAGCCTACTATGCAAAGCAACTCTGGGCTGGATATAGAAAAAGTTGTTGATGGACAGAGGATCTTCTGCCACTGTGTCCAAAATATCTGCATTCTGAAGAAGGATGTGACAAATCATCATTTCTGATTATTCTAGTATGATAGAACTGTCTTATAAATAGTTTTGTTAATTTGTTTCTCAAATACTCCAAAGGTTGGCTTGGAAGCACGTGATGTTACCTTTGTAAAAACAAAGTAGGTTTTGGCCAGATGAGTGCCTGATTGGGAAGCTGCCAAGTACATATTATGTTGAACCTCAGGATGAGGGGGGAAATGATCATTTTAATTGATAGTGACTTGCTTGGTTATGAATACCTTTTTATCTACTCTCATCTCTTTGTAGGCTACTTGGCTCCAGATAAAATTGACAATAAATTCTTTGACCCCAAGTTTGCTTTCAAAGAAGTGGAGGTGCAGGCCAAGTCTGTGAGTGAATTGGTGACCAAAAGGAAGCCAAAGGTCAGTATGGGAGACATTGCTGTTTCTCCAACAATAGCTGTGAGGAAGCTTCTGTAGATAGCTTCAGAGGAGTATTCATTCATTGGGCAGAAATAATGATTGAAAGGTGGGAAAGTTTGGTGTTTACACTGCAGAGGATTAGGTGGAAGGAGATGGCTCTTACTTGAGAAACATTTTACACACCCATTTTGCTGTGTATTACTTGTAATTTTTTTCAAATAGGCTGAAGGATATGAAGATGGAGCCACAATTCTTTATAACCGCTGCAGCCTGACAGATTTTCTAAAATCTTCCAACCCAGTGGACTTCTTAGCCAAAGCCAGTGAGGTAAGGATTGTGCAGCAGGGGTGTGGGATGGGATGGGGTGGGAGGGCTGGACTTTGGAAGTTGTTAGATTATCAAGATGTCACAGTGCTAGAAATCAGAATTATGGTTTAGGACAAGCTACCAGGGAGAGAGACCTTTCCATTATTTTTGTCCTCTCTGCCTTATCTCCTAGATTGTCTTTGACAATGAAGACTTGGAACATCACAGTGCAACAAGTGAGGAAGTGCGCCATTGTTGTCAAGACATCCGAGTTCTTGGACGTAAGGAACTCCGGTACGGAAGTTGACATATTATAAGAATGGGATGTAGGATGCTAAGGAGAAATAAGGTCCATCCTAGCCTCCTAACTATAATCACCTGAGTATCCCAATAACTTCATGTCAGTCATCCTCAATCCATTAGAAACCAATTAAGTTTCCTGCTTGTGATGTTTCTCACAAGAACAATATGTGTAGACTCTCACTGTCTTCTTCTCCTTGCTTAGGGCCCTGCTGAATTGGAGAACAAAACTGAGGCGGTTTCTGGTGAAGAAGCGGAAAGAACAAGCTAAGGAAATAGATATCAAGTAAGTGAATTGGACCCAATTCTGAAATTTTAGCTAGCAGTTTACTAGCTACAAAACAGGAGAGTCATCTTGGTTTGGTGGGCCTTCTTGCCTGACTGCAGCTATTCTACCAGCTTATGGCTGAGGGAGAGATAGAGGACGGAGCATTTTATTCAATTTACTAAGATATGGAAATGCCCCTCCCGCTTCTTAACTAGTTTTCTGCTTGCTAGCTGTCTGGTTTTTGACAGTAAATCTCAGTTGAATACTCAATAAAATACTTTCAGCTTTTTATTAATGAAAGATTTTTATTTATGTAATTAAATTTTTGAAGCTCTCCATCTCAGCCAAGTTATTATGAGTGGTTTACAGTTCAAAATCTGTCTCTTTTTCTTGCCATTTCTAGTTTAAGTTCTGGTGAGGAAGAAGAAGGAGAGGAAGAAGTGCAACCCAAGCAGACAGCTCCAGAAATTCAAAGGACAGAAGAAGAAAAAGAGGCTGAAGAATTGGAATTACAACTTGCTCAGCAAAAAGCTGAGGAGATAGCTGAACTAAAGCGGTGAGCTTAGAGAAAGCAACAAGTCCATTTTGGAATTATCCTTTCTCTGCCTACTAATAAATGGCTATAATAAGGAATCAGGCATTGTATAAAGACATCAGAGGAAGCTTGGGAAAAATGTTAATTGCATATTTAAATTTGTTTAGATACTATAGTTTGACCTAGAACTCAGATCAGTTTTCTCAACTTAAGAGTCTTTTCATATCTTGGACTAGAAACCTAGTCCGTTTGGAGTAATGTTTGGGATTTGTGAGTCATCAAAATACTTCCCTCTTATAACCCCATATTGGAGATCTGAGTCTGGATCAATATGTTTGTATAGCTATCTCAAGCAAACATTATGGAGTGGAAATTGTGGGCATCATAGTAATCTGAGGACTAGAATTTTGAAAAGTCCTTTTTTTTGTCCTCTAATCCTTACCTTTAATATGGGCATGTAAGAACACCCAAAGCTCTGGTGAATATGAGTGTGTGTGTTGAAGCATTTCCCTTCTCAAACCTAATTTTTTTAAGAGTTGACATTTTGAAAAATAGTAGAAATTCTGTAAAATATTCTGCTTTAGAATGTGTGAAAAACTTCTTAGAGTAGGAGTTCCCTAATTCAAAATCAGCATGCTGATTCGCACTGTGCTCAAATCAAGTGATTTGATCTAATCATGTGATGGACTCATGTGAAGTACTTCAAGTTATTAACCTTTTTCTTCATCACCAGGAAAAAACGTAAAATTCTGCGTGAGCGCAGACGCCAAAGAGAACGTGTTGAACTGAAGATGGATCTTCCGGGTGTTTCTGTTGCAGATGATGGGGACACCGGGATGTTCTCTCTCAGAGCAGTTGGCAAAAACCAGGTAATAGAGAAGATCTGAGAACCTGCCAATTGGTTAGGAGGTGACACTGGTTCACTCTGAATCAGGGTGAATAACCCAAAACTGTGTTTCACTCTTTTTTCCTTCACCACATATTGAGGCATAAATAGCCAGCTCTCTCAACTTGTTATTCTCCACAGTTTTTAAAAGGCAAGGGACAGGCATCGTGAAATTGATCAGTGTTTGAAGGTTTATATATCAAACACACATAGGCACCATTCAGTGAAAAAATAACCACCAAGGAATTGGAAATAATTGAATAATCTATTTTAAATGACAAGATAGTATGCAAAGTCTATATTAATGATGCTCTAGCTTTGTAAACACAATATAGCCAACTTTTGCTTAAGTGCGCTCTCCCCCCACCACACCTTTCCTGCCCCATTAGCTTACTGAACCACTCATGAAGGATGAAAGCAGTGTAAAATATCCCCCAATTCCCAGACTCCACAGGTGATCCAGGAAAAAAATAACAACCCCGAATTCCCAGACTCCACAGATGATCCAGGAAGATGCCATGATTAATCATATCAGAGCCACCAGGAGGTCTAAAAGTTTAATTAATCTAAAGGATTAATCTGTGTGATCATACTTGCCATCACTACCCCACTTGTTTGCTTCCAGCTACTGCATGAGTTGGTCCAAGGTGACATGGCAGCTGCAGATGCTTTTGTGGAATCATCTACCAATGCTGACAACGACTTCTCTCTCTCAGAAGAAGGAGGCTCTGATGATGATGTCTCCTTGGCCAGTGACTTGGATGATGATGAGCTGGCAGAGATTGAGGAGCGGGCCAAGCAATTGAAGCAGGCCTGTGTCTCAGAAAAGTAAGTGAAGGTGGCAGAGAATTGATTCTATTGTGGTGGTTGCTCTGTGGGGAAATTGGCTTTATGCAATTGGTGGTCTTCTGAAAATGATGTTAACACTTTTTCAACTTGGAAGAATTGGAAGTCAATTGTAATTGGGTAGGGAGAGAGAGAAAGCTGCATTTGGGAAGCAATTGTGGATCACTGTGTGTTTGCACACATAATGATTTAACAGAACACTCCCAATTCATTTCTTCAAAATTGCCAGGATATCCATTTGACTTAATTATGCTATTTCATGGGAATTTAGTTATTGATTGTTTTTGTTGCTTTTGCATACCATCCCAAGCTCTTTTCAGAATTATTATCTCTTATTTTCCCCTTCTACTGGTTGCATACTTAGTAGTAGTAGTATTTTCTCTGTTGTTTTGCAAGTTCCCTGTGTGCTCCTGTACCAGAGACAAATTCTAATGACACTTTGGTCAAATGAAATATTATATTGTTATCATAATTAATTAATACTACCAGTAGCAAAGTATTAATAGTGATGGTATTATTTAAAAGCATACTCTGATCCCAGTATATCTATACTTTCCTTTTTTTTCTAAGCCCATCCCAACTCCCCTGTAAGTAATAGCGGAATTTTGAAAGGCTCAGGTGAAGAAAATATTCTACATGTTGACGGGGTTAATTCATAGTATCTCTCCAAAATATGGAGCATGAATCTCCTCTATTTCTACTTGGAGATAATGGGGATTGAAACAAGAACGTGTTGCACTTAGGTTAGATGAGCATAAGAAAAGCACAGAGCAATCCAGTTATTCCTCAATGGGTAATTAAGGTGGGATTTTGACGATTAAGATCAGTTCATGAATTTTCATGGCAATGGTTTACGTATGCCTTCATTACCAAATTGATTAGATAGGAATGCTTTCCTGCAACATTGTTTTATCTGTTTCAGAATTGCCTCTGAAGATGAAATGGAAGAAGACAATGCTGAAGGAGGAAATCCTCTGTTAGTGCCACTGGAGGACAAGGAAGAGCGTGAGCAACATCGGATGAGCTTATGGTTTGGCAAAGTGAGTAACTTTTCCCAAGAGTGTAATGCATGGTCATTGCTAATAATTCTGGAAGTGGAAAGTCATATAAGTAAAGAGCACTCAAGTTGGGAAAAACTGCCACAGAAATATTTTCCTTCCATTCCCCATGTGGTACTTCCTTCACCCAATGGTCTGAAATGCCTTTCTTTTGGCATTGCCTGAGACTCTTTTTAAAACTACTGAAGTATCAGGGATTCACAAAGTGACATTTTGAGTAGCATTTCCGTAAATGATCTAAGTTAATTTTGTGTTTCCTTCATTCAGGAGGCTTTTGCTGGAATTGATGATAATGCTGATGAAGCACTAGAGATCGGGCAAGCACAAGTCCTATCCCAGAACCGGGCAGAACACCCACCAGGTAAAACAATATTCGACTTTATGGGACTAAATTGGATGATAAATGAAAATAAGGCATCAGCGTGCAGCACTTCTTGAAGTAACTTGAATGAAACCGGAGCCTTTGGGTCTATCTTTAAAAGCCACTTGTCCCATATCTATCTTCCCTAGTAATAAACGTAACTATGTAATTTCATTGCATATGAATTGGCTTCAATTCAAAGTAATCCCCAAAGTCAAATTGAAATTAGGTTGGGAAATTTGAACTGCGAAATGGATGTCCTGCAGTGGCTAAATGTTAAGAGAAAAAGGATTTAAGGCTGCTCCTTCATTTCTTTTTGTATGTGGAATTTTACAGATGTTGTGCTTCACATGCCTTCGAGGCTCTCTACACATTGCTTCCTAACATACTTTGCACATCATTAGCATTAAATGTAATAGCAGTACTAAATTTTTGTGGTGTAAAATTCCAGGTCACTTTAACCTGTTGGAAAGATGATCACAACCTACTTTGCACTTTTAAAGAAAAGGAACTGAAACAATTTAGCCGCTCAGCGGATCTTGCCTTGACTACAACACAAGGGTTATTTATTTAAATTGCTACTTTCAGAGAACTCAAAATATGATAACCTATTCTTCAGCCTGGTGCCCCCCTATCATGTTTGATTTTGCACATATTAGACTGTGTCCTATATTATTTGGGCATGATAAGAGAGTTTAGTTTGTTTATTGCAAATCCTGTCCTGTTTTTCATTCAGAATAATCCCAGAAGCAGTGTTACACCAAGCCAGCAAAACCACATAAAATGTTAAAATCCTAACTCAGAACCAGAAAAATCCAAGCTCAGTCTAAATCTTAGGTCAACAGGCAGGTTTTCTTAATTATGGCACCAACTATAATGAGAAACAGAATTCTATAATCAGGGTGTTTATTTTAGGACAAATTAGGAAGGCATCATAGTGCTGAAAGATATAAAGGAATATCTTTATTTGCCAAGAATAGCATACAATATTGGATTGCTTTTGGGACTATAATTAGGACTTTGCCCAAGTATGTTACTTTCTAATTCAAAAAGTAGTGGCTCAAACAACTGGGTTTTTTCCTTTATTGCACTACTACCACCTTTTCCTGTGCACTGCTTGGAGAGTCCAAGCATGGGTTAAATTAGTCTGATTGCCCAAGAACTGAGTTCAAAATCTTTGGCCACGCCTCCTGCTCCTTGTTAAGGTCAGATTTTTAACTCAGTCTGCCTATCAGGACTAATTTAAGTGAGCTCCAGCTGTTTTCTAATTTAATTCAGCTTGGACTCTCCAATTTAGCACAATTTATTTATTTTACTTTTCTTTCTATTGGTTTACTTCCCTTTTTATGTTTTGGATTTTGTTGTTCTTTTCCTTCGTGCTTCATGATCGTCAAGAGGTGAGAGAGGGAGAGGAGCGAGCTAGCGAGGGGAGTGCTTGCCTTCGTGCCTTAAGCGCGGAGGCTTGACTTGCTGAGGCTCACTGCTGGTGTCTTGCACCACGACCAGCTTCCCCAGCTTGAAACTTTTAAAAAGACAGGCTCCGAGGCTTTTTTCTTTTTTTCCTTCCTCTGGTCCCCGGCGTGGATGCGGCTGCCATTTGGAACGCCCCCCTCTGCGTGTGGTGGCCGATCACAAGCCTCCACCTCGCGTGCTTTCTTGGCATCGCCTTGACTCTGTTGCTACCTTTCCAGGGGGGGACCGCTGCCGGGTGGTGCATGGGCGCAGATCAGGTTGCTGGCTGCGCTGCTGCCACCCATGCTTTTAAAATGCAGTTTCCTGGCAGTAGCGTTGTTTTGGCCACCACATGGCCATTCCTCGAGTCCCCCCACCTCTCTGCCGCGCAGCCTCCATTCAGCAGCGGCGCTAGCAAATTGAGAAACGACCATAAGGCTGCGGAGGCTGCCAGGACCATGAGGCTGGACCTTTCCTCTGTCTCCAGCGTGCTTGGGCTGTGAGTCCCGGCCAGAGCGCTCTCCTCCCTTGGCTTCTAACTCTAGCACACCATCAGCTGCTGGATCTGCCTGCAGGATGCCTACCACTGCTTCAGAGCAGCTTGGGTCTTCTGGAGATGGTAGCTCTGGTCCTACTGGGGCCATCACCAGGGGCAAGGCCAAAGGGAGGAGCAGGATGGCAGGCAAGGGCAAGGCCTCTGTAGAAGCAGTCCCTTTGCCTCCATGCCAAGGCAGGTCAGCTGGGCTCTGGGAGATCCCACCCCCAATTGTTCACACTGGGCCTTTGCAGAGGGTAGAGGTGGAAGGCGAGGAGCTAGATTTATCCTCGGACAATTCAGTAGTGGGTCCCAGCTCTCCTGGCCCTTCTCCAGTCAGAGTCTGGCACCCCTCCCGAGTCCCTTCCCAGGCTTTCAGGCCCAGAGCCCTCTTCCCCCCCCATCCTTGAGCCAAGCATCACTCCAGGGAGGACGGGTCTAGTGCTTTCCTCTGAAGTGCAAGAGGTGCTTGCACATGCCATTTGCAGGGCATAGCCGATGGCCTTCAGCACCAGACTACTCCATCGGTCGGTGGGCGCAGGAAGGAACCTGTGGCTTCCACTAGCAGGGTGAGGCATCCATCTCTGGAATCCTGTCATTAGTGAGGTTTCTGTTGGGGATGAGCAGGATCAGGATGACCAGAAATTGTCTGAAGACAAAAATCTTCCCCCTGACACCCCTACATTCTCAGGTTTATTTAGGCCCACTACATTCAAGTCCATTTTGCACAAGGCTAAAGCCATCACGCAACTTAGCGTGCCCCCTCAGGCTGATCAGGGAACTCCCAGAGTGGACGCTCCTAATCCCAGGGACGGTATGTTCAAGAAGCAGGCTCCGGCCCAGGATTTGGTTCCTGTGCCCAAACTGGTTTTGGATGTGGTACAACGTCAGTGGGTCCAACCGGGCTCCTTAGTTGCTCCCAGTGGAGGGGACAAGAAACTGTATTCAGTGGAGGAGTCTTTGGAGAATATTCTCAAACTGCCCCCCCTAGATTCACCTGTGGCCTCCTTGACTTATAATTCGGTTCTTCCAGCTGACCTCATGGAGGGTCTTAAGTCAGAGGATAGGAAGGCGGAAAAAGCCTGCCACAAAACTCACCAAATGGCTACTTGGGCCAGTCAGGAGAACGCACAGCTTCCCCGCTTCTTCTCCCACTTCCACTCTCCCTGAGTGGAGGGGACGGATGCCCTCTGCTGCAAGTGGCCGCCCGGTCTGCTGTATGCCTTCCAACATCTGGCGCTCCTCCTGCAAGTGGTTCGCAAGATCATCGCAGAATGAGCAGAGGTTCTTCTGGTGGTACCCCATTGGCCCAGAAGTTCCTGATCTCATAAGTCTGTCAGTAGTGTCTCCTTGGTGCATCTCTCAGGAACAGGTCTCCCATCGTCCATCTGGACCCCCGGTGGCTGCAGTTAGCTGTCTGGCACTTGAGGGGGACCGCCTGAGGAGGGACAGCTTTTCCCTGCGGGTGATCCAGACCATCCGGGCAGACAGGAGATCCGTTACTGTCAGAATTTACAATTCAATTTGGACTACCTTTGCCACTTTTCTGCCCATGATCTCGATCCGGTCACCGCTACAGTGCCATGTGTCTTCGATTTCCTGCAGGAAGGTTTGGACAAAGGACTCGCTCCAAACACTCTCCGGAGGCAGTTGGCAGCTCTGACCACCGTCTGGACTGGGCATCCATCCAGATCCTCAGCAAATTGCCGAGGGTGCATACCTTCATCAAGGGTGCCTCGAACCTACACCCTCCGGTCGTTCATCGCTATCCCATGTGGCTGCTCTCCATAGTTCTGCAGGCCCTGACCTCGCCCCCTTTCGAACCGCTTCGTTCTGATAGTCTCTGACGTCTGACTCTTAAGACTGTTTTCCTCATTGCCATTACCTCAGCGTGGAGGATATCGGAGTTGGCTGGCCCTGTCAGTTTGGGACGATTTATGCATCATTCATCCAGACAGGGTCGTCCTCCGCTTGGACCTGTCATTTATTTCCAAAATTAACACTTGGTTTCACAGATTGCAGGAGGTGATCTTACCAGTTTTTTGTCCACGACCCAGGCATCCCAGAGAACGTACCTGGCATAAGCTGGATGTGCGACCGGCCTTACACAGATATCTGAAGAGGACTGCAGAATTTTGCAGCTTGGAGGCGTTATTAATCTCTTTTCAACTGGCGTCAATGGGGCAGAAAGTAACATCCACCATCGGGCGGTGGTTGAGGGCTTGCATTGCCCTGGCATATGAATATCAGTCCAGGATAGTTCCATGCAACATCACTGCCCACTCCACGAGGAGTGCTTCCACGACGGCTGCCTGGGCAACCCAGGCATCAATAGAGGACATTTGTAGGGCGGCCATCTTGTCGTCCCCCTTTCCGTTTGTCCGGAACTATAAGTTAGACATGTTTGCCTCGGCTGAGGCCTCGTTTGGCAGACGGGTGCTACACCAAGTTCACTCTGTGGCTAAACCCTTGGCCTCCTCCTCTTCTATCCGCCCGTGGACAACTAACTTGGGTATGTCCCATGCTTGGATTCTCCAAGCAGTGCACAGGAAAATGACCATTGGCTTACCTGAAGGGTCCTTTTCTGTGCACTGTGGGAGAGTCCAATCCTGCCCTGCTCTGTGCGGGCCCAGGGTTCGGGATCACCAGTCTTTCTCCATGCCATCTCATTGCATCTTCTGTACAGGCATCGCTAAAAATCTGAACAAGGAGCAGAAGCATGGCCAAAGATTTTGAACTCAGTCCTTAGGCAATCAGACTAATTTAAGCCATGCTTTTGGACTCTCCCGCAGTGCACAGAAAAGGACCCTTCAGGTAAGCCAATGGTCATTTTCCTTTAAATGTCATTAGCATTTCATGCCTGATGTCTGTGTTTCTGAGAATTTTTTATATCTTTTTTCCTCTCCTTCATAAACCTGTGTCAAGGAATCTAAGATAATGAAAGGGAAGGAAGGAGAGAAGATTTTTCACTAATTGAAATGTTTTAAATAATTTTAAGTCTCAAAGAAGAACAAGAGGCAAAAGAAGTTGCTACAACATGAAACTGTGCCTGAATCTATGAACAGGGAAAGTCTTGAACCTGAAGGAGCAAAAGATTCATCTGAAATGGTGTCCTCTGAGGGAGAGGAGAGTGACAGTAGCGATGAAGACAGGTAAGGTCATGAGGGACTGGATGCATATGTTGCACTGTGGTGATATGTTTACTATTATGATGATTGATTGCATAGTAAGTCTGATATTTAAACTGGATCTACCATTTTTATCCATCTTTCAAATTCTTCCCAATAATAATCATTAATAATTATAATGCCAAATCCAATCTAAACATCTGGCTGACTATGCAATGAACTATAATAATTATTTGTTTGAAATTATTTGTACTAAATAAGGAAAAAGTAATACCAATAGTAATAGTGCCTTGGGTGTGTTCCCGAAACAACTGGAGCACTACCTGAATGTCATTGGCATTGACAAATTCACCATTAGTCAATTGCAAAAAATAGTTTTACTTGGAATAGCTTATGTCCTGTAATGATATCTTTAATACCATCACACAGCAACATCTGCCTATCCTAGGTCCTTGGGGAGGATTTGATAGGTAAAAATGCCAAATCCAGTCTAAAGATCTGGCTAATTGTGCAACAAACCATAATTAATATATATTGTTATTGTTATTTTGGTTTAGTAACCCCAGGCTAATTAGATTTATGGCTTAGTCAATGGCATGAATTCCTCCATGTATGCTCTAGATAATTCAGTAAATTATGGCTAAAGCCATTGCTCAATATAGTGTATAACCCCAGGCTTGTTCTGTTCATTTCTTGAGCTTTCTGTTGCATTTGAGATGGGAAGGATTAGTACTGCATTTTATCTCTTCACTATAAAACAAGAAACTTGAGTTTTATTTATGTAGATGTACTTGTCTTAGGCTGAAAGTGAATAAACAACCTTTGAAAATAAGTGATGCTAAATTATTTCTGTAAAACAACATTTCAGTGTTCTGTGAATTTTGAGCACAGAGATGGGCAGACATATCTCTGAGCCAATATGGTGCATAATATCCACAGTTGTAGAGGTTTCTAATGCTTGCTTTAACTCAGGAATTTAATGCCTTTTCTTCCTGTGCTGCAGTCCTAAAATTTCCCCTGACCACCTCTACTCATTTTCTCACAAATACAATCCACAAAAAAGTTATCACAACAAGAATGTAAGCAGCAGGTGGTCTTTTTGTCTCAAATATGGAGTATGGGGAAAATCCATCCCTTGTCATACAATACAGTTCTAATACTGATCTTATCTCCTTTCTCCCCAATCTTCCTTCATTTTTAGAAGGAAGAAATCAGTACCTAATTTGATATTGGGTAACATTTCCTCCAAACATAGGAACCCATTCATTCTAAGCATAATCAAGGATGGTCACTAAATTTGGCTAAAAAGAATAAATGTGCTTTATTTATGATATTTTGTGGATAAAATAGATACTGATTTTTCTGCATTATGAAATATTTCTCAAGTTTTAAAAGAAAGTTATGGCATTTGTCATTGTTGGCATTCTGACGTTGGTTTTATTGAATGTCCCAATTGAACCTAATATATTGCAACTTTATTATTCAGTTAAATTAGTTTCTTTAAACAAATGGTTTTCCATTTATAAGCTACACATGAAAATATGTTTGATCTGAAGAGAGAAAAAAGTTATCCAATTTGCATTGGTTTTAGGACAAATGAATTTATATAAGGAAATGCTGATATTAATCTCAAAGCTTTTTTTAGCAATTGACATAAATCTGGCCCTAGCTTTCCCTGATGGCCTCATTTTAATATACTACTAAATTAATTTACTACAAATTTAAACCAGCCATCATAGGATTTTTCATGTTGGCATCAAATTAACTTGCCAACAATTTATTTTTAAAATACTAACTACATAAATGATAATGAATTCAATTTTTAATATCTATATTTTCAGATTTGGATTATTACAAACAGCTTTTATCTATGTATGGACAGCAGTGAATATGACTGTATTTGGAATCCAAATTACAATTTTTATGACACAGTAATATTTGAGGGGTGGGTAATATATCTAAAGTAGCTTTCCACATTTCACCTAATGCGATGCCAGAGAGGAGATGGTCCCTCACTTCCACCTTAATTTCTGTATTTCAGGGAATTGTCAGCTTCCCAGGCAGGAATAAAACGTCTGCGAGAGGGCCAAAGTGGTATTGAGGTGGTCCCCATTATAGATCCAGGTAAGGAGAAAAAGAGAAATGGAGAACAATTGCATCTCATCTGTTTATGATTTTCCAAGAATAGAACTGGCATGCTGGCTCAGAATATTAACTGAAACTGTTGTCTCCCTCCAGTGAAGCGAGCTCGGGTTCTGAACCCTGAAGGACTGGCATTAGGAGCAGTCATTGCCACTTCCCGCAAGGCCAAGAGAAACTTAATTGATGAATCTTTCAACAGGTGATTTGAAAGCACAAGAGCATTAGCAAATAAACTGGAAAAAACAACTTTTGAAGAGAAGAACACAATGAGGATGACTGATGAGTTTTAAAAAAATTGCTTTATCTAGTTAGATTTATGTAGCAAAAAAAAACAAAAACAATTTATGCTCCCATAAATCAGACACAGTGAAATCAGCAAAATGAAAACTGATGATGTTCCCTAAGTCTAGGGAAGACTTTGTGTTGATCCCTGAAATGCATTTTCAAATACTCAAATATTCCTTCTGTATACCTGAAAACCTTTGAAACATTTTCCTGTGGTTCAAAAGGAATGTTTCACTGGTTCAGTTCTCTCCACCATTTGATGGAGAAGATTATTCAGTTGGGTTGTACCCAAACAAACCTTATAAAATGGCTTAAACTGATTGCTGCTATAGGTAGGATGCCAAGACAGTGACTAGGTTGACCACTAGTTCCATTTTAGCTATGATCAGTTTATTGTGCAGTCACAGCCAATTTGCAGCAGAGAACGATAGCAATAGCAGTAGACTTATATACCGCTTCAGGTATATAAGGGAAGCAGAAATTAGGGAAGCAAAGAATCAGATGGCCCTGTGTAAGTTGGGGCTGAAAGAACCTAAGTTGAGGATTGAATGTATAGCATACTGATTGGCTTATGTAGCTTTCATAAAAGTTATTAGTATGAGGCATAAGAGAAGAGATTTAAGTTGTTTGGGAACCTTGTAAAGAAATGCAGTATATAAATTTTGCAATGCAATCAGGGTTAAAATAAGGGAAGGAATATGTCATGTTGAGGCAGAAATGCACATAAATTAGTGTACTTCCTAAAATAGAATTAATACAATTACAATACACAAACACACACAACATAAAGAGAAAACATCAAGCTTTCTAAAATTAAAGAAAACATGAAAAAGGAAAATCTGGCCAGTCAACTTAGCAAATATGGTTCCATCACTGTAACATCCATGCCTGTTTGTATTGTGGCCCTTTCCCTCACCGCAGTCAGAAAACAAACATGATTTTACCAAATTCAAAAATTGAACTCCATTTCCTTTCTTCATTGTACAAAAGTAAAATGTATATCCATTTTTCAAAATTATTATAATTGAGAGAGAAGCTTTGGCTACCTCATGTTTGAGGAGGGTTCCTGTGACTGGCCCCCTTATATCATTCTATTTCCTGTTCCCAGGTATACTTTCAACGAGGAAGAAGGGGAACTACCTGAATGGTTTGTGCAAGAAGAGCACCAGCACCGGCGCAAACCACTGCCTGTGGACCCTCAGACTGTGGAGGAGAACCGCCAGCGTTGGCGGGAAATTAATGCTCGGCCCATCAAGAAAGTAGCAGAAGCTAAGGCCCGCAAAAAACGACGAGTAAGCAAGGCCATGCTTCTTTATAACCAAGCAGACTTTATGTAGTCTGGTTGACTTATAGCCAACCAGACTGTTGACAGGTTCACACAATACTAAATTAGAATTTTAGCCTTCGTTATTGACCACATTGCATTCATCATAATGTCTACATTTACAGAAGCAACCCCACCACTTTATTGCTTGACATTATGTATATATACAAGTGTTTGTTAGTCATCTTGATTTGTAAGGTCTCGTGGGGCTATGAGGAAAAAAATGTCTTTCTTTACTGCTGTGTGATTTTTTTAAAATAACTTTCAGAGGATAGAGCCAGGTACAGACTCATAGATATCTCCACGCTTTGGGTTTTTTTCCTATGATAACTGCTCTCTCCTTCTCATCAGATGTTGAAGAAACTGGAGCAGATGAAGAAAAAAGCAGAATCTGTGGTGAATACTGTAGATATCTCAGAGCGTGAAAAGACTGCCCAGTTACGCAGGTGGGTTTTCACCTTTCTCAATAAGGTTCCTCTCCCCTCCTTCCCTCCCCCCTGAACTCAAAGATTAGAGACAGCATCTTTTCTATTGCATTTAAGATTTTTGTTATCGGATATTAAGCTTCCTGAATTACATATTCAAGTTTGTTTATTAAATTTATATATTGCCCATCTCACTTGCCAAAGTGACTCTGGATGGCTTTCCTCCCTCTTCTTTAGAAGTAAATATAGAATTGACTAGATTTCAAGGGCCACAGAAGAAGCTTGCTTGACTTTATTCAAAGTTTTATATTTCATTGTAAAAGAAAAAGAATGTCTAGTTGATCAGTACTAGAACAATCTTTTTGTAGGTCAGTTTAAAAGACCCCAAAATAATAAGGTTTCGGAGTGCTGCAAGTTTCTGTTTATCATCTTGATGGAATGTACATGTCAAGATGATAAACAGCAAAATTACAGGAGGAAAGCATAATATTGTATTTAGTTTTAGATGGAATGTGGGAGTAAGTTGCCAAGGCTCAAGGTAGGCTTTAAGATAAATGTTGAGATAGTTACAGGTTTGTCCAGGACAAGTAAATAATTCTCAGTCTTCCTTATTTAAAAAAAGGGCACTGTTTCTATTCTTAAGTATAATTCACAGGTTCCTTGGTAGGTCTTTAATAAACTTTAATCTGAGTTACTTGGCTGAACACTAATTTGGGCTTCTTCTATCCTAGTTCAACATTGTAATAGCTATGGTACATTGACCTCTAAATTCTTTTGTTAAGGTTTCCCCACAAATTAGAATTTGGTCAGATTTAGGCTTGATAGGTTTTAGAAGAGAAAAAATAAAATAAGAAATAACACTTTGAATAACTTCCTGTATTTTTAATAAGTTTGCCAACTACTTTTTGTGGAATAAATTATCATTTGGTTTCCAGTTTTAGACAAAGAGAGTCATTTTAACAGGGACAGGCAACCTTTCAAGGACTGTAACTCAGTCCCCTCATCCTCTAAAGAAGTATCCAGGAGAAGTAGCAGCAACATGAAAGTGTTTGTCTTTGTTTCCTGTGGGTTGAAAGTTTAAAAATAGGGCAGTTTGACACACAAAGAGTTCCTACTCCTGTGACTGGCCTTGCTTAAAGCAGGGTTAGTAATGCTTCTGAAATTTGGCCTTTTTGTCACCTAATTATATGGTAATCAATTTAGGGAGGCATATAGATGAATTGGTGATAAAAGGTAATGAAAGGAAAGTGGCTTGGATTGGAGGCACTGAAATCTCGGGAAGCAGTTCTTTGGTTTGACAAGAGATTCTGAGAGGAAGATTTCACCCAATCTTTTTCCCCCCTCCTCTAACAGTATCTACAAGAAAGCAGGTATAGGGAATGAAAAAAGGCAGGTGACTTACGTCGTGGCCAAGAAAGGTGGAGGGCGGAAGGTTCGACGCCCTGCTGGAGTCAAGGGCCATTTCAAAGTGGTGGACAGACGTCTCAAGAAGGACATGAGATCACAAAAACACAAGGAACAGAAACCAAGACGCAAGAAGCAGAAGTAAAATTGTCATAACTTAATTATTTTGTGACTAGGATGGGCTCTTTTGACTCTAGTCCTTATCCTACAAACTGCTTTTTTGCCATTCAGCCATTAATAATGTAAGTTGCATAAAGGTGGACATGTGACGCTTATGCCCTTCAGGGCTGTCTTTTTTTCGAGATTTTGTAATTATTTGTGTTTTATTAAACTCTTTTTTCCTGAAAAAAAATTGTTTCAGATTATTTTAAATTTTGTTACCAAGAAAAAAATAGAATTTGCTATAACTGAAGGTCTCCCAGAAATGTTTGAAATAGTCAAGTGATGTCCAGGTTCAAGAAGAGGCTGGTGAAATAAATGCAGAAAGTCGTATTAGGTGTGGAATGCAACGTTAACTCTGCCTTAATTTAATTCTTAATTGCTATGGCCACAGCTGTGTCTTTGTTTTAGGGGTACCTTAAACTTTACTGAACAGATAATTTTTTTAAAGTATGCTATATCTTGCATTCTGTAAAACCATCTTCTCATAGTCCTTAGTAGCCGATTTGTCAAGAATGTATATATGAGCCCTCCTTCCTTCATATTGTTTTATAAGTCTTATGTTAGAAAACAGTACAGATGTTTTTTAGTTTATTTTTACTTCTTTATTTTCTTAGATCAAAAGATGCATTAGCAAGTCCCAAAAGGTCCAGGAACTTTTGGTTCTGTGTTTGATTTCCCTCTTGGCCTGGCTCAATGCTTAATACTAAATTGTGGTGATGTGAAAATGTCTCTCTGCAATTTCTGTTCCTGAGATTTAACAATGAAAAATGCCCTACGTAGATATGGGTACTAATGCTGTGGCTAAATTGAGCTATTACATTAAAATGTAAAATCTTTTTTTAAAAGTTTGGATTATTATTATTTTCTGCATAGTGCCTCCAGTAGTGTCCTAAACTAACCATCTCGAATACAACAACATTAGCCAAATCCTATGCCTATCTCCATGCCTCGCCCCATCCCTTGGTAATCTTAGAAAAAGATGTGCGGTGTCTATTTCATAGACAAAAGATCCAGAAAGCACCAGGTCCAGATCTCCTTGCTTGAAAACCTGTGCTGAACAACAGGACCCCATCTTCACCTGCATAATTAATAAATCACTGGAGTGTGCTATGTTCCTTCCTGCTTCAGAATTACTGTACACATATCTAAAGCATACCCTTTGCTTCTTGCATCTCCTCCAATATAATAAAAGCTAAATCTTTTCTTTTTATACACCTGCACCCATGCAATTTCTATTTGTAGATACATGGTAAGAAATTTAATGGGTGAGGATACAGTAGTGGCCACAATTGTGGAAACCTTTTGGGAGAAGTGTATTTTTGAGGTTTGATGGCTAATAAAACCACTTGTTTTTTGCAGTAGGACCATAAAATTATATAGCAATGGAAAGATAATTTAATCAAGAATGTAATGCAACAAAGTTTGTTCAATTATCTGTATTCTATGAAGTGTTATAGCCAAATGACCAGAAAAAGGAAGCACAACTTGCTTAGATTGATATCGGGTAGCTTTCCTTCATCTGATTGTAGCCAATGAGCATGAGTGTTTAGAGAGCCAATCACATGTCATTTTGTTTTGGCAGTGAGCCAATCAAATCACAGGATTCAGTTATTGATGTCATGTATTGAAGCTGAGAGGAGGACATTTGTCAGTGTGTTATGTGATCGGTATCAAGTTGGTTGGGGTTTTCTTGTGTTCTTTCATTTAGTGATCTTATAAAACATAATAAAATTAATGGTGCAAAGAATTGACTGGTCACCAGAGAGCGATGTAAAATAGTATTATTAAGTGAACAAGGCTACAGTTATTGAAAAAATTGGAAGGAAAATTGGTGGAAACTTAACCGAAGGTGGCATTTCTAAATTTTTGAAGAGGTATAAGGAAACTCAATCACTACAAAACCACACTGGTGAAGGGAGGAAAAGGTGCAAAACAGCAAGTGATGATAGCAGAATTAAGAGATTATGCATACGTGACAAGAAAATCATCTGGGTGTATACAAGATGAAATGGTGCAATGCAATGTGAAGTTGAGTGCAAGGACTGTTCAAGAATTTGGCCTAAAATCTAGAATTCCATGAAAAAAACCATTTTTATTTCTCAAACAAAGGTTGAAAAGACTAAACTGGGCTAAAACCAATGTTACCTGGACAGAGGAACAATGGGACAGTGTTATTTGAAGTGATGACACCAAGACCTGCCTGTTTGGTAGTGATGGCATAAAAATACATTTTTTCCAAAAGGTTTCCACAATTTTGGCCACTATTGTAACTATTCTTCATTGTTAAGTGTCAACAGCTAAAATATAATAATTGTCTGAAAGTTGAATTCAAAAGACTGATATAAAATCAGCACACAAGACTAAAAGCTTAATAGTTTTAAAGGAGTTTAAAAGGCCTTCATGAAATAATCCATGACAGCCAGTTTGTTTCCATATCATATTGTGTTCTCTATAACGAAGTATAATAAAAGTACCCCAAAATTAATTAATTTCAAACACTCTTTATCAGCATGTAAAAGATAAAAAGGGGATCATTTTTTCTTTTTCTTTTAATTTTATGTCTCTTAAAGTGGACTTGATCTGAAAAGCACAAAGTTCTTTTATAGCCTTTCAGACATGACTTCTGTAGTTAAGAAATACATTCACTCTAAAATAATATTATAAAGTCCCCATCTCTGTATTTAGCCGTTCATTTAGTACAGCAGTGGACAACTTCCTGAAGCTGCTAAGCCATTCTTTTTTGCCCTCATACTCACTTCCAATTCATTCATAAATAATGGACAAAATGTTTTTCTGCCATTTTAGTGTGAAAAGAATACAGGTCTAAAAGAAACTTAAAGCAAACTTTAATATTTAAAAAAAAAATAACATCCAAATTTTCCCCTTTTCCAAGAAGAGAAAAACACATCTCGACTCAATCCACTTTATAATTTATTTACAAATTTATTCATTTATAAATTACATGCAGTTCCCAGCCAATCGTAGGTTACTCATTCTTTTTTAATAGTTTAAAATGAAAAAAGTGCTATTGTATGGATAGTGCCTTGCACAGAAAAGATGTTCTGAGGAATTCTGTAAACCTGGGGTTCCAGGCTGGGTTTTTAAGAACTATCCATATCATTATGGGGATACAATCTCTTACCCAGCCTGGTATTCCACTGAATTTATTAAACTAACATTCTACACACTTGGTATCCTGACATAAGACAACGAATTGTAATGATCAAACTACTATAAGAATAATCATTAATATAATTATTTAATATGACATCAATCCTCATTTTCCACCACACTCCTACTTTTTAGACCATAGCCAAGTCAGATTAGCCTTGAACCCAACCTGCACATATCTGCTGTTCCAAAAATTGTTTGTTCCAACATTCTTCTAAAGATAAGAGCTTAAGAGGGAGCAGAAGATGGCTGAAGTTGCCCATCAACAGTTAATATCTGTATAGGATATGCAAACCATGCATATATGGCAGCATTTCTTGCTTGAAATTGGATATGTGTGTTTGTAGCCCTTAACAGGAAGATCCCAGTATATTTGGTACTAGTCTGTATAATTAGACATAAAGTCAGATATGGCAGATTGGAGCTACAAGTTTGAATTTGTGTTTTTAAACACTCATTTAAAAAGTTGATTCTTTAAACAGTTTAGATTGGTGAGATTTTCAAAATTAGAAGTATTTGCTCTGTATCAATTTATCACATGAATGAAGGTCATGGTTGTTCCAAATGTGCTTTTCCCAAAAATAATTGGACTTTCTTGGGGTTTTTTTTCTTAAAACATTTTACTTCTCTTCCAAGAAGCTTCTTCAGTTCTGGCTGAATAGTAGGGAATGGAAGGATTTATGTTATTTGGAGTCATTTGGCCGTTGGCACTGAGGATCAGTAGTTAGCTTTCTGAGAGTTGTTGAGGCCACTTGGGGTTTATCTGTATTACCTAAATCAGAATGCAAACGAGTGTGGTACCTTCTTGGGATTGTTGAAAGGACTTTCAGGTATCTAAAAGACAAAGGTCATTCTTTGAAGACAGTAAAGTTAGCATTCTGGACAGAGAGGACCATTGCTTTGAATTACAGATCAAAGTGATGATCTACATTAAAACTGAACAGACCTCTCTCAACAGAGGGGGAGGGAATACAACATCAACTACCTCCTGTATACAACACATTCCTTTCAGCAGTCCTAAGAAGGTTACATACCATTTGCGTTCTGACTCGGGCGATTCTGAGGATGTGGATAAAGTGGCCTTGTGATTTTCAGAGAGCTAATGACTGTCCCTTAGAGTGCTAATGACCAGATGACCGCAAACAATGTAAACCCTTCCATTCCCTACCATTCAGTCAGAAATGAAGCTTCTTGGATGAGAAGCAAAACATTACTAAAAAATAAATAAATAAATAAATTCCAGTTAACTTTTGAAAAAGCATCTTTGGGATTATTAGTAAAATGCTTTTTCCTTCATTCAAACCCAGACTTTTCTATTATCTGCAGCATTTTGAAGAGGGCTGGAGACAATACAATATGAGTGGCTTCCCTTGCAATGCTAATATAACACAATTTCTGAATGTAACAGGAAAGTTCACCTTTACTTACAGTTCCATATCAGATACAACATTTAATTGCCAGCTCTGTCTTGCAGTTATTATCAACATAGTTAGTCTAAGACCTGCTTTCTGAAGAGAACCTGATTCACATATGACATTGGGCAATAGCCTGCTATTACAAGGAAGAAAAGCTTCATACTTCAGATTCATATGTAGTCCCTTTAGATCACAGGTATGAGATCTTCTGATAATAAACACGATATGAGTCTTAATTGCTGGGTTGGTCTTTTAGAAATTGTTCTTCCGTGCTATGTATTGTCAACAGAGATCACTTCTAGTCTCAGCCCCAGAACAGTTTGGATATACTACCGTGTTTCCCCATAAATAAGACAGGGTCTTATTTTCTTTTGCCCCATGAAATATGGCCTTGGACATATTATAGGGGAGGTCTTATTATTTTCTGGGGCAGGTGAGAAGTGAGGCGCGCCTTTTACCTTTCCAGCTCCAGTCGCGTTCCTCGCCATTGTGCTCAGGGAAGCGGCTGGTAAAAAAAACACCTTGCAAGTTCACTCAAACTTCTTGAAATCGTGAGATTGTTTTTTTTTTACCAGGAGCTTCCCTGAACACAATGGCGAGGAACGCAACAGAGCTGGAAAGGTAAGAGGCGTGCCTCATGGCCCAACACCGCTCACCTCGCCCCAATGATAAAGGCAGCCTGCCTGGTTCCCTTCCCCGCCGTTCCTTTAGCGAGGGGTGGCAGGTTACCTTTCCAAGTCCGTTGTATTCCTTGCCCTTTCGTCCATTGAATCACCTTGTAAAAAAAACTCGCTAGTTGAACTCATGAGGTTTTTTTACAAGGGGATTCAATGGGCGATGAACGCAACGGACCTGGAAAGATGAGAGGCGCACCGCGCTTCTCCCCCCCCCACCTGCCACCCCTCACTAAAGGGAGAGCGGGGAAGGGAACCAGGCAGGCTGCCTTTACGATTGGAGTTGGTGGTGTTTTTTTGTGTGAGAAGGAACAGGCGGGAGGGGGTGATCACATTGCTGGCCTGCCGCTGTTTTTGTGGCGGGCTCTTTTTGCGCAGGAGGGAAGGGCGGGGGGTGGAAGCACTTTGCTTCACCTGCTGCTGTTTTTGCGGTGGGCTCTTTGCATGGGAGGGAAGGGTGGGAGGTGGAAGCACTTGGCTTTGGCTGCTGCTGTTTTCGCGGCAAGCCCTCTTTTTGCCCCACAAGCTGTACCGATAGGTGGTACAGTGGTAATGGGGAACAGTTGTGCATGCACTTAAAGAAGTGGGGGGTGGGCTTATTTTCAGGGAAGGGCTTATTATGGCGCATGCTCTGAAAAGCCCGGTTGGGCTTATTAGCAGGGCATGTCTTATTTTCAGGGAAACACTGTAGATCTCAGACAGCTTGTATTCCATGTCAGTTTTTCCTTAATATTCCCAAAGGACTGTTTAGTGATTTAATTTCAAATAAGAAACTAAAGGAGAGTCAAACCCTCAAAGACTTGAGTGGAATCTTTTAGGAATTTCAGAGTTGAACCTCTTGAACCACCTTCCAAATGTGGTAACCTCTAACCTTTCTTTTATAGAAATTGTCCTTTAAATATTAAAGCTGTAGCCAACTTACGTCTGCTTAAGGCTCCCATCACTCTTTAACCTCAAATACCTGAGAATAATGCATCCTGCATTCATTCAAAATATAGTTATATTTCTCTACTTCTACTGTTTGGCCTGCCACAGCATTTGAAGAGAAGAATAAAATATGATTCAGCATAGCAATTTTATAAATCTAAACACAAAGGGTAAAAGATTAATACAGTAGCAGCCAGTTAAAACAAGCTATATGCAATTGGCTGTACTCAAAAGAATGTGGAGATACAAAAAACATTCCATCTTGGAATCTTCCAACCAAATGGCAAGTCTGAACATTGCTAGAATACTTCTGTATAAGGAATGGCCTGTGTTAACAGTCAGAAGAATCTGCAACATGATAGAATAGACTAGAGTGATACTTTGAGGAGGAGGCAAAGAGGCAAGAATTCTGGAAGTTCACATCTTGGGAACACACTTTTGCCCATCTGACTGCCTTGCCTAATCCAGCTCTGCTGAGTGACTCAGCTCAGATGTTTCCCATGGTAATTTCCTGGATGCAAATAATGTATCTCTCTCAAACTAGATGCAAAAGTTTTATCTTGGGAGACCAACAGCACCTCTTTTTCACAACTTTAGTACTTATAGAATTTAATTTATCTTCACTAATAAAGTTTTATTACTGAATTACTTACCATAACCCACGTCTTGAATGGCAGGTATATGATCAAACAGACCATATTTAGTGATGTTGGATTTAAATGGACATGGAATTCTTCCTCTTACTGTAAGCATCTTCTCCAAAATAGATTCTTTGGAAAAGATCAAAAAGAGATCATATGTAGTTAGTATTTTTATAGCAAGGTGGTGCTAGTTGTTTTCCAACTCAGCGTAATTCCTGGCTTTGTTTAGGAGAGAAATGTTCTTGTTTTACTTTCATCATGACCACTGTTTTTTCTGAAGCTTCCATGATCACGAGAACTCATTATCTCTCATCTTCTGCACAATCTTCCCAGAAATGTCATTAAAAGTGTCTTGCATCAAATTGCGAGTTCTCTCAACCAATCCAGAAATATCCTGTAAGTCAAGTCCTTGCGTTTCTATCTTGGGCAAAATCCGAATGGTTAAATTACCTATTAGATATCAAAGAGAGACAATCAAAAACAAAGAAACAAAGACAATCTTAAGAAATTGAATATTTCCAGAAAGGATTTCCAGAAAGAGATAGGAATGGCATACAAATAGCAATATATTCTTGCTGAAACTGATATTAGAGGCACATGCAGATGATTGTTAAATTTCAGAATGTTTTCCAAGAAAGTTTGGAATTATATCACATAGGCATCATATTTGAAGGAGTTTTGAATAGTTATTAACATGGATATTGGGCTGCAGCCTCAAAATACAATTGCTTTAATTCTGGAATGAACATAGTTTAGACAGCTCATATGTTTAAACTGTATTTGGATGCACTTTGGAATATAAACAAGGGTACTTTCCTACAGAGCCTAAAAATTACATAAGGTCTTTTTGAAATAAAAGGCAAAAACTCTCTATCCAGTCTTCTCCCACCAAGATTTATTTTACTGAAGCTTATTTAACTGCGTATATTTGGAAATAGATTTATCAACTTGTCTGTTTGTATAGAAAATGCCTTTTTATATCAAAAGTAAAGATAAATGAATGAGGATCAATGTGTAGATCTATGAATGATACTTTCAGCTCCTAAATGTTAGAATCCTGATTATATACAAACATACAAATCTGGTAGGAATAAATATTGTTGCCAGAAATGTTCTACTTATATTTTTATAATTATAACCAGTAATAAGGTTCAAGAATCTTTTTCAAAGGAATAAATATTGCCCTTTGAATTTGGAGTATATGATAAAATGCAGTTATAGGTCTGGGAAAAAATTAGTATTTTAACAGAATGTAAGTGTATTTTTTTTGCTTTTGGGTGCAGTGCATACATTAAAAAGTCAATATTTTTTGAAAGATACAGGTTTGTGTGAGGGAGAGAAAGAGACAGACAGACAGATTCTAGGATAAGTAACAGAGATAAAAGAAATGAACTAGATCTTGGAATATGATGGGTATTGATAGGGGAACCTAAGTTAGTTGCCTCTATCTGTTGCATATTGTAGATATCCCAATTTCACAAATACTGCCATTATCACAACTATAAGCAAAACTTTCTAAATTTGTACCTAAATATGTAAACTACTATGTGGAAAAGTCATAGAAATCTCTCTCCTTCGGGGGAAGAGGATGATTTTTTTTTTCTGTAGACAGAACTATTCATCTACCAAATTTGTATATCACCATAATCAAAATGGGTGAATAGAATTTCTATCCCTTATATTGCTTTCTAAGCAAGACAGACAAATTGATGGCAATTAAAAAGAAAAACCTGGGCATGGTTCTTTGCCATTTAGACTAACCTGGATCAAATCTCTTATCCTCCAAACTGTAAAAATCTCTGTAAGAAGATATCACAACGGGGACAATGGGAACCTAAATGATAAAAGGCAGTTGAAAGATAGAATGTTGGAGAAATACATCATGAGTTTTTTCTCTCTTGTGACAGTCTTCTGCAGCCACAATTTTACAACAACTCACTAATCTAACTATCTCTAGATATGTGAACTTCCAGAATTCCCTCACCAATATGGGCATTGCTGGAAGTTCTAGAAATTGGAGTCCATGTATCTGGAAACTGTCCAAATAGGTAAAGATTAGTTTACACCTTGGATTGGATTGGATTGGATTTATTTCATTTATATGCCGCCCTTTTCCCCGAAGGGGACTCAGGGCGGCTCACAATTCAATCAGGGAGAGAGGTACAGACAGGGGATAAAAAGACAAACATAACAGTACACAATTTAAAAACACACAACAACCATACCATTCGAGGAGGGGGGCAGAAGCTCTTTAGCCCCAGGCCTGTCGGAATAGCCAGGTTTTAAGGGCTTTGCGGAAGGCCTGGAGGGTGGTGAGGGTTCGAATCTCCACGGGGAGTTCGTTCCAGAGGTTCGGAGCAGCCACAGAGAAGGCTCTCCTCCAGGTAGTCGCCAGTCGACATTGGCCGGCGGATGGAATTCGGAGGAGGCCTAATCTGTGGGATCTGATCGGTCTATTGGAGGTGATTGGCAGCAGGCGGTCTCTCAAGCCTTCTCTGAACAGGATTATAAAACTTTAGATAGTACTTGCAATTGATTAGGAATAGGCATTTTAAGATCAACAAGTCAATAAATCTCCTGATTTCTCCATTTTCTGTGGAAATTAATTATATTTCATGTATTAGGTGAAGTGGTGCTACTCCATGAAACTTATACTGTATGACAGCTTTCTTCAAACCACTGAGGTCCTATTGGTTTAACTTACAAGCCCTTTAACTCCCAGTCAATATGGCAATTCTAAGTGGGAATTGCGAGAAACAATATCTGAAGGTCATTAGAATCATGAAACAAGCAAAATCAAACAAGCAAATGTATTGTACGTTGAAATGCCACAATTTTTTTTATAACACATTTCTGAATAATTGGCTTTTACACATGTTGCCATGAGTATGAGTATGCTTCAAAAATGATTAGGCAGAAATTCTTTAGATCTCACACAAGTATGGCACTTCTCTGCTATTCATAAAAATAGCTCACATGAATCTGAAAAGAGGTGCTACTTCAATGAAGAGAGATTTTACACTTTTGCAAGTTCCAAAGCATAATTTTTGGAATAATATGTATGCCTCAGCAGTACCTGGATGTCTTTAGCTTGAGAGCTAAAGTTCAGGTTAGTAGTTGAAGGGAGACCACTAAGAAATCCCAGGATTGTAAGATAGGCTTGGAAGTCAAAGAGACACTTTGAGAGGAGGCAAAGCTACATCAGTGTTGTACTGTTCCAAGATAACTGCAAAATGTGTCATCAGGAGTTAAGCTCCGCCTGAGGACATCTTATTTTTATTTCTGCTCAAGCAAGCTTTTACCCATGTGTTGAAATGAAAAGAAGGAACGCATGGAAACAAAGTAATCTAAGGTAATTTCAATATGCTCATATAAAGTCACATAAATTTCTCAAAGGTATTTTACTAATCACTTATAAATCTGAACTATAGTATTTATGACAGCATTTGATATCTGTAATGGGAAATGGGAAAGGCATTGGGAGCTTGGGCAAAGAGGCACTTCCAGAGTCAAATAAAAACCCATAGCTCAGCTCAGAGCTATAAGAACCCATAGCGTCAGCTAAGAGTCAGAATCAGATAAAAACCCATAGCTGGATAGTAGGCAAGAGGCTCAGAAGAGACCTTTCCCTAGTTTCGTAGGCGGTAAAGAAAACAGGTGAATTGTACTTTCAGACTTGTAAGATTATTCAGTCAATGTAGGATTACAAAAATGTAGAATTAACTCATGTTTGTGATTCCTAGCTGGTTTATTCTGCAATGCTGAGTCAGAATTTCCCTCTTCCATACAACATTAACATCATTATCAGGAACTTTTTACCTGAGCCTTTATAGCCAAGTGAAAGGCACCCCGCTTGAAAGGAAGCATGGTGTCCTCTCGGTTCCTGGTGCCTTCTGGATAAACCCAGATCCTCAGCTGGGTTAGTGAACAGCAGGGGAAAACAAAAAGACCACCAATTACAATTTGAAGTGTGAATGTTCTGAAAACATTCCAGCCCTTATTCAGCTATTTTGTTTAAAGAATTGCCCTACTCTCTTCTGGTCTCATCCTCAGCTCAGTAATCGCCAATGTTCTAGCTGAGAGAACTTGGGTAGAGGGAAAGGACTGAGGCGAGCCAGGTCTCACAATGCTAACAGTTTATTGCTAACAGGTTGCCAAAATGGCACTTCACTATGCGTGCATCTCAGCTAACGGCAACAGCTGAGACCCTGTTTGACAGCCCTTTATATGTGCAGGCTATCAAACAGGTAACCAATCAGAACAGAGTATGGCACTCCCTAGCTGGGCGGACCACAAGGAGAACTGCCATACCCAACAGTATGCTTAGATTGTCATTGCCTTCCTGTGTTTGGTAAAGATTGCACCAGTTAAAGGCCTTGGGATGTTAGGAGGAAGGAGAGGTAGAAAATCTCTTCCAGGCTTTAGAACACCCTGGTTTGGATGCTTTCGTGCCTCCATATTAGCAATCCCCAGCATTACCCATTTGCTCCTATGAACTTTCCCACACCTCAATTTCTATTGTATTCTCCCTAATGCACTAAATACCACCATCTGCCTTTTACTCAGACAGAGAGAAAATGGCTTTAGTACCAAAATAGAGATAATAGTGGCAGAACTGTGTCTTTCAAGCCAGATGAGTTTCTGATAACTACATGGACATATTTGTGTTATTTTCATACCTGATGACAAAGAAATAACACAAATATATCCACGTAGTTACCAGAAGCTCAACTGGCTTGAAAGACATAGTTCTGCCACTATTATCTCTATTTTGGTACCTAATGACAAAGAAATGTTTTGCCAGTGCTACATTCTGGGATATTTTTCTAATTTTGCAGTCCAGTCAACTCTTTGACTTGCCACTCTCGTTGGCAAGAGGTTGTATTTGTATTAAAATGAAGGATCCAGAATCACTACAGAGATATAATGAGATGTACTGGTCTCTTCCATGTGTGGTCATTGAGGTGTAATATATTCAATGGCTAATTGTTTAAGATGACATATAGAAGAAGGGTGGTGAAGAGGCTAATTTTTTATAGTAAGATGGTAACATAAATTAGCTTGCTTCACATTTTCATCGTTAATAGTATTGAAACTAAGCTGAGAAGAATAGGGAAGGAAAAAAATAGAGAAGGCAATCATCTCTAAAAGCTTCAGTATCCATATTTCACTTTGTTCTTTCAGTTAAGTGAGTAAAGTAGGAGAGAAGAGTCCTTGACTCATGAGTCTGCCTGTTATGGTTGCAAGAGCTAATGGTCCTTTAACAAAGATACACAAATACAATATCTAAGAACATTCCTGATTTCAGGATTCCTTCCTCTGCAGACAAAAATGGTTTAAGGTAATTTGGGCTCTTAGGAGCATTTGTTTTAGTACATATAGAATGCAGATTTTTAAAATCATTGTCCTATGGCTATATTTCCCAAGCAGGAGCCATCCAGATATGTTGGACTTCAAATACTCATAAGCCTCAACTAGTAGAACTTTCATTATAAGGGATTAAAGTCCAACATCCAACCATTGAAGGCGAGTGGGGTGAGCAGAGAAAACAGTTGGAGAAAAGAAAGTTGCCATATACCAAGTCAGATTCTTTGTTCATCTAGCCAAGTCCAGTCTTCTCTGGCTGGTAATGACTCTTCAAAATTTCAGTTAGAAAATGACTTCTCACTTGATCTTTCTAATTGTAAATACTAGAATTTGGGATCTTCTGCGAACAAAATATGTAGCTTTCATCTTGAAGTCCACACCAACAGCTGCAGCAGTTTTCCAATAATACTTGGAACTCTCCCATTTTCCTGCTTCTCCCAAAATAAAATCACATCCCCAAATTTCTCTCTCAGTGCTCACCTTCTCATGCTGCATCCTCTCTGAAAGTTTTTCTAAGGTGTCCTTTGCTTGGTGCTGCTTCTTACGATCAATGAAAACTAAGCTGCATAGCCAACCACTGAAGCCCACCGGCCCCCAATATAGCAGCTCTTTTTTAGTAAGTGGTACACAGCGCTTTGGCAGGATCTCTGCCATTGCTAGAGAGAAAGAAAAGAGGGAGGGGGGAGAGAGAAGAATGAATGAATAAATAAAATAAAATAAAAATTGCAATGGCTCAAATAATCTGAACAACCAGATATATTATTCCTTAACATATCTCCCAAATCAACCTTCTAGACAATTTTGGGGTTGGGAAGAGAAGAAGACAAAATCATTTAGTCTGTGTTTACAAACTGTAGTAAGCACTAATGTGATTTGTTTTATTTGTATGAACTCAGTCATTGTAGTTTACGAAATACATATTAAACAAATAAATATATTGGTATTTGGTGCAAAACACAGTTCTGAAAAACTGGATGACTTTTGAGAGAGACAGTGGCTTGGAGAGAATCTCTGGTAAATTTAACCCTTTTTGTAATAGAATTTCTCTCCCCCCCTTTTTCTCTCTCTCTCTCATTCAGATCCTTATTTTATCTCAATCTATCTCCTTTTTCTTTCTCTTTCCTTTCCTATATTTTCCTCCTACTTTTTGGCTATATCTATTAAAAGGAGAGAAGACAATATAAGTGTGTACAGCTAGTCTTTGACATGAGTTTGCCTGTTATGGTTGCAAGTTATGATGGTCATCACCCTTGGTCTCTCTAATGCAATCATTAAATGTCTGTGCAGATCATTATGTGAAACTCAGGTTGTCTTATGGTGCCTGGACCTTCCAAGGTCTCTCCCACCCGCCTTAGATACCCCATGCTTTACTCCCACCCCTCAGGATTCCCATTGGTCTTGGACTTGCTTTCCTCCCACTGGATTCCTGCAGGCCTTTTACCATTCCCATAGGAGAGAACAGTCACAAGAAACCATTGTTGTTCCAAAATGGCAGCCACTTCTAGGTTGCAGCTGTGCAATTTAGGGATGGAATACAGACTGTAGCATACTGTGGAGAGCACTGAAGCTTTCTGCTGTGCTGCACAGAGTGCTTTGGGGAAGCAAAATGGTCTGTTTTGTCCCTGGGCTAGGTGATTGCATTCCAGAAGCAGCCACCATTTTCAAATCAGTCACAATTCCTTCTGGCTGCTCAGAAAACGGCGACCACTTCTGGGATGCAGCCACACAGCGACAAAATGGGACAACGTAACCTGCCATTCTTCCCTAACATGAAATCCACAGCCCCTGTTCTTCTTATTTTCGAAAAGTAAGTGCACAGTGGGTGAGGGCAGGAGGGGAGGAGGATGTGGGGACCTGCAGGATGGAAAGCAGGTCCAAGGCTCATAGGGACCAGTGGGAGAAAAAAGCAGGCACAAGGTCTTTGGGGACTCAATGGGGTGGGAAGGGGGTTGAGATAGACAGTGGCCCGCTGCAGTATTCCTATTGACAATTGTAAAGACGAATGACTGCAGGGGTGCTCCGGCTTCAATTACTTCAAAATGGGGTTGTAAGTAGCTTTTGGAGGGCTCTGTCATAACTTTGAAAGGTTCCTAAGCAAACAGATGTAGGACCACCTGTAATGGTGTGCTTCTAAGTGCAACATAATGGTTACTCTATGCAAATAGGAGTCAATATTAAATGGGTTACCTTATTTTACAGATAATCCGTTTTAATCAGTAATTTTTCAGTATGTTTTTTTCATGGCCTTGAACAGTGTGTGGCTTCCACTAGGTAAATACAACATATTATGTGATACATGCATACATTTATGGGGATGACTGGGTGAGTATTATACAATGTTTAAAAACCACAGACACACCAAGGTGTGGATTTATATATGAAGAAATTGCTTGTTGTTTTGTTTAGAGATCAGTAGAATGCTAGAATAGAGTTTCTAGAAGTAGAAAGTTCATACATAGTGGTAATTATTCATAAACTTTGGATTCTTACATTTCTAATAGCATCAAGCATGCATTTTTTACCTTGAGATATATTGTATAATTTGCCAGGTATATATTTATATAAAAAAAGATCAAGCAGATAGATCTTTTGTCAATAATTTTCATCTGAGCAAACCTTTTGCAACTTTATCTGGATACATCAAAATATTGCAAAATTTGATTTAGGAATGTTCACATTAGTTGGAGAACATCTGTTTAAAACTGGAAGCTTCTATCTACTTATATTCAATGCTTTTATCTTGCCTTCTATCCATGGGGAAAGGAGATTGAGAGGAGAATATAAATAAATGTCATTAATAACATTCAAATCATTTGGAATCTAATTGAAAAAACTCATACAACATTCTAGATGTGATAGCTTAGCCACGTACCAAGAAGATCAAAGTTTGTCTGATGGTTGCAGACAATCACATATGACTGCTTGATATTGAAATTCTCAGAGCCCTGCACAGTCAATGTGATGTTGTAGATATATTTGAGTGGACGAATGCAGGAGCAGAGTAACCTGAAAGGAGCAGAACACAAAAATATAATTTAGGGGAAAGTTTTCAAAAGTAGTCAATATTAACCCTTCCCCCTCCCCCCACCCAAGAATCAAAGTGACTATCCATTATTGTTGCTATTATCATTATCCATAAAGTAGTATTTATTACATTATTTCCATATAAAAGTTTGAGGATTCATCAACTAAAGAATTTTGGGGCATAGGGTTTAGAGAACAAAGAACCCACTTCAACACTTTCTTTCCTTTTCTGTCTTGTGTCCACTGCACTAACTTTATCCGATACATAATATAATGAAATGGTGCATAGGAATGATCTTGGCAGGGTTGGAAGCGATGTTGCCCAGGGAATGACCTTGGGGATGGGGGGAGATGTTGCCCAGAGAAGAGGGGGGAGCCCATAGCTGTTTAATGGCCAGGGGAAAAATACTCAGAAAGGATCCTCTTTGACTTGCAAGGTTGAAAAAAGAGAAGATACATTTTTACTTTCAGACTTGCAAGAGTCTGCTAATGTAGGCTTGCAATAAAGTAGAATTTAGCTCATTTGATCTGTTTCCTCTGTGACCTACTTGGGAAGGCTAACAAGGAGGATTGAAACTGGGATCTGGTGGTAAGGGGAACCACCTAGAATCATTTATGTTATATGGGAAGTGTAAAAATAATAAAATAATCTTTTTTTAAAAAGTGTGTGTAGTGGTGGGGGGTTTGAAGATAATATATAGCATATTATAATAATATGCTTTGAGCAGAACACCCCCCCCCATCCAGCTTTGCTTCTTCTGTAACCACTTGGCTTTAGTAAAGTGTACTTTTGTTAACAATGGATTTGAGGGTCTTTCTTTTCTAACTGACCAAGTTGGGACGATTGACAGCATAGAAGGAAAAATGAGTCCCCATAATGATATTTAGTTAATCAATCATTATTTAAAAAGAAAAGTCATTTCAGTCATTAACTCTCAGACAGAACCTAGCTGAATCGCTTTACTCCAATGGACTGCCTTGCACATTCATCTTCATTGCACAAATTCATAATGCCTCATTTATGTATATTTTTATATCACTACAACCCACCCAAAACCTCTTGTGTTTTTCTTTTATATACACTCTTTGAATTGCATCGCTCTTCTGGATCCTTCTGTCCAGCCACTCATCTGTCTCTTATGCCTCTTCTGTCACATGCTGCCATGCAATGCACAACACACAGAGAGAGAAATTACACACATAAGAAACATGCTTTCACTAGTTTAGCTGCTTCCCAGTCAGCTTGGTAGCATGGAAGAAAGGGATTGTGAGGGAATATTTTAAATTTACTAAAAGCACTCTCATGAGGCTTGACTTATAGAACTCACAAATGATTCCTTAACTTTAAACAGGCAACAACCAGGCTAGTTAACTGGAAGAAAATCTAATAAATCCAGATGTCAATCTTCTTCATCTCTATCCAAACAATCGTATTACAGACTTAACAGCATCAACCTCACAACATATAATTTGTTTATCATTTCATTTCCCAATTTATCTTATTATCTATCAAAAGGGCCTTTCAACTATCCATTGGCAGAACACTCAGTTTAAGAATTCCAAAACAGAATGCTTATTTGAACAAAAAAAAACCCTCTACTCTTCCTGCCACATATTCTACTCTTCTCCCTATATCCTTGTTCAAAGTTTTTTTCAATGCTTTTTGTCCAGTGACATCAGTATTGTTGGGGGCAATATACTGACTTTGTAAACTGCTCAGGTCTGTAAAGCACTGTCTAAGAGCTATTGCTATAAGTGCAGGGACATGCAGTCAGGGGAGGCAGGAGAGGCAGAGCCTCAGCACTGTCATCATGAAAAGAAATAAAATGTAAAAGTAAAACGGCTGAGCTACTTGCTGCCAGAGTCACAGTGGATGACTCTGCTTAGTGCTTAACTGTTTAAAAAAGCCTCTAAAAAGCNTCTGGATGAACCCAATTTCCTTGTACTGATTTGAAGGAAAGTTGGTAGAAGATGTACTGCCCTCAGCAGTGATTGTCTTCAGCGATAGTAACTAAAGAAGTGAACCGTTTTAATGACTTTTATTAAGTTTATGCTCTTAGCAGTAAAACCAGAATCCATTGGACTGAATTTCCTTTCTTTCCCTCTTCTTCTTCTTTCCCTTCTTCCAGTTCTCTGTCCTACCTAAGCTCCACGTTCTGAGCATCATGAAGACAACAGGAGATCAGGCCAGGGTGTCATTCCATCACAGGACTGCATGACATAATGTACGCGTCTGAATTGTGTATTTAAGATGTATAGCATTAACTGGGGTTAAATACGAGTGAAATTCTATCCTTCACTGTTGGTTCTAGTCATAGTCAACATTGAATGCATGAGTGAAGGCAAGGGATGTGCGTTCCCCCGCTCTCCTCTCTCCCCCCCCCTTCTCTCTTTTGCTCCTCCTCCTCCTCTTCCTCCTCCTCCTCTTCCTTCTCATCCTCCTTTTCCTCCTCCTCCTCCTCTTCTGTCTTGGAGGGAGGGCATTGCTTTATTCCGTGTACTCTCCCTCCGCCTTTCCCCAAGCAGTTATGAGACTAATTTGAATACTGAAATAAAACTTTCATTTAATTAAAAAGTTGCCGCATTCCTTGAATATTTTATTGCTGGGAGGAAAAGTTTCCTCACTGCTACAAACAAATTAATGTCGATTTGGGTAAAAAGATGATTCCGTTTAGCACACACTGTGCAGAAAATAGATTCACAGATATCAGTGAGAACAGAAACCAGTTCTATATTTAATTTGTGGAACTCTTAAAAAGTTGGAGCGTAGGAATCAAAAGAAGCTGTTTCACTTCCAGGCTGTGCTGGGAGAAAAAAAAAGATGCTTGTTTTTCTGCACCTTGTGTGGAATCTGAGTGAAGACCATATCTCTCCTATTTGGTACCATGGTCTGTTTGGTTGGAAAAGGAGCAACTACTCATTTCCCCATGAGTGTGTGCGTGTGTGTGAGTGAGAGGGGGGGAGAGGGAGAGGGAGAGAGCGAGAGAAGGA